TTGTTTGTGATGAGGCCTATCGATTAATAGTTTGAAGGACAAACATTCTGTCTCCCCACCCAATTCCATCATTTAAAAATAAAAGCCTCAATGATTATCTCAACCTTAACCATGGAGCTCATAATGAAGCTGTTTTGTGAAAATACTTATTTCTCTTTCAAATACTACTACAAATACTACTAATATCAGTAGTACAATGTGGCCGAGATAGCGCTACCACCTCCGTAAGGACGCACAGACACGCGTTGAGAGCAATAAGACTTTTATTTTGCAAGGGATCAGTGGGCAGGATTGAGACCGCTCGTCGCGCTGTTGCTCGGCTCCGCTCTGTCCTGCTCAGCTCTCGTGCTCTGCTCAGCTCTCGTGCTCAGCTCTGCTCTGCTCACGTCCCTCGATCTGGATCCTGCTCACTGCTTTTTACCAGAGAGACAATAAGTGCAGATTATTTCCACCTGTGCTTTCTCCTCACCTACCGGCACCGTCCCCTGAACCACTCCCCCGCTCTCCCCCCCTGCAGATGAGCTAACCACGCCCACATACAACTAGTATTACTACTTCAACTGATACTGCTACTATCATTACTAATACTACTACTAGTATTTCAACTGGTAACACCGATGTGGTTTGATCTTGAAAAGTGCTTTGTTTTAAAGAAAGTAACTGGAGAATTATCACCACACAACCAGCAGAATCACGGAAACACGTTAGGAGCCAGCTGAGAGCAGAGGCAGAGGAATTCGATTTTTACAAAAAGACTTTGATTTGTTATGGGCTGTGTTAGTTTAATGGGAGACACATGTTCATAAGTGTTGGCTACAGTGTTAATTTTGGCAGCTATTTTTGATTTAGTCTTCGTCTTTAGTCTTGCATATTAGTTTTAGTCACATTTAGTCATTTTAATCCTTCTTAGTTTTAGTCTAGTTTTCGTCGACGAAAACTAGACTAAAATGTGATTAGTTTTAGTCACATTTAATAGCCATATTAAACTCCTTTTCTTCCCTTCTCAGGCCAAGGGACCCCCTGTGTTGTGTCTACAGCTGCATAATAGTGTAGTTTGCAGTACTTGGTTGTCCATCAGATGTCCCTCCTAGGACAGGTCTATAGCAGGTCGGCAAACTTTTTGACTCGCGGGCCACAATGGGTTGTAAAATTTGACGGAGGAGCCGGGCCAAGAACAAATGGTTGAAGTGTTTGTGTGAGTTAATATAAATGACATGTGAAAAACCATTACATGAAATTTGGATTTTAACAAATAGCAAAGCATTTATTTGCAAGGCAATTTAACAAATTGGCAAAGGTGTAACAACTTCATGAGGACCAGGGATTTAAACGCAACACTTTGTTGTCTTTGTCTGTTTACTTGCAATGCTTTTGACACTTTATGGTCCTGTATTGTTTCCACTGTCCCAACTAAAGAGACCTTAACGTCCTACAATCGTTGCAATACATTATTTTCTTGGCTGCATCATAAACCAGCCATTCTAAACTGGACCCCCACTTTTCATTCAATGTGTATCAACAAGTTAATTTAATAAGATGTTAGTGTGTGAGCCTCTGTGGTGTAATTTAAACAGTTTCTTTAGAGACCCAAGCAGATAAGATGGTGGGTGGCACAGCAAATAAATGACAGCATGAATTGTCAGTTGTCTCACGAAGTGCCTTTTATGGCTGACGTTCCCTTTCATTTACAGCTCCTTTCACATTAATCCCTTTGTTTGCCCATCCCTCTTTCTGACACTCATCTCAGCCATGTGTTCACTCCACCCCCCACCCCTCCCTTACACTGACAGGCTCCACGGTTTCTGTCTATCCCTCCTCTCATTCTCTCCTCATCTTTCTCCTTTAGCCTCTCTCTTGAAGATGAGATGATAGTGCTGCTAATTAGTTTGTGAAAGAGGTGCTAAAGGCTCCATGTGGGCTGACGGAATGAGAGTTTGTGAGACAGAGGACCGTGAGTAATGAAGTGACCAGCGTGAGATCTCTGGACACTCGTCCTCTGAAGTCATGGAACTGGTGTGAGGATAGGAGTGAGATGCTGAGGAGAAGATAGGGATTCACTCCACTTAGCAGCCAAAGCTTGTGACTGGCCACTCACAATTGTGAAATTCACTGTTAAAACTCAGCCACTAAACCGAGAGAAATATGTTGACTGGACTGACCCATAAAGAAAAGGATAAAAAAAATTTTGTGAACATTCCTTTCAAGTCAAAAACAGCATGCAAGCATTATTTATCAAGTGTTAATGATTTTACACCAGTGCGGAGTAAAAATCTTTGTCCTTTGGGCTTTACTAAATTGTGATTCATCATTGATCGGAATATAAGGGCCTTCATATAGGCTGGGCGGTATGGCCAAAATTCCATACCATATCCATTTAGAGGTGCGTAAACGCTATTTCCAAAATTCCAGAGGTGCGGAAACGGCGTTTACGTGGGTTTACCCTCCACAACAGCCCTGCTTGTTGCTTTCATGTAGCAACAGTTAATTTGTGTTGTGAGCCATACCTAGCATGCGGGGTAATTTTTATAAATGTACAATTATTAGTATTACAAATTGTTTATGTGTCACATGTTAAAGAGTGTTTGTTGTTGCTTATTCATTGTTGTTATAAAGTTATAACCATGACTCAATCTCAGCACACGTAAGACAAGTAGCTCTGACCGCTGGGTGCTCCTTGATGTAAAAATGAATTCTGCCGCCTGCCGAAGAGCAGTTATTATAGCGTACGATCTAGTGATTGGAAATTCGGATAATTTTACTGACTCTGGAATCTTTTTTGAAGTCACTAATTTATGTCAACATTTCATAGCCAATTACCTGGCCTAAATACGTCCACTGCAAACCGGTATCATATTCGTAGGTAGGTTAGTGTACATACATAATGTAATAATGTAAACCAGCAGATACTAATTTAAAAGAAATTCTAAAAGAAATTCCTGCTTTAAAATAATGTATCATGACAGTTTGGATGATTTACAATGGTCATTTATTATCACACTCGCATTTAATTATCACGGCAAACAATTACACTGCACTAAACTGTAAGTGTAAATGTAAAGTGAAAATAACAAAACCAGTCAGTAAGACTTGTGAACAAATATCATTCACGTCTTTCTAAAACAGCGGTCACGCGAAAGGGAATGAAGTAACTATTTCCTCTACTAAACCAATGCAGGTCATGTGAAAAAAGGATCCGACCCAGTCGGAAAATGAACGAATCATTTCTGTTTCCTCTAGCTAACAGTGATGAGCCTATGCAAGTCACGTGAAATATGATCCAAAGACTCGTACCCAGTCGGGAAATGAACGAATCATTTCTGTTTCCTTGACTGAGCCTATGCAACAGTCGCGATGCACGGCCACGAGAAAATGAATGAATCTCTATTTGAGAGTCCTTGTAAGGATTAAATCCACGAATTGTTCACAAACGGTACGTGACAAATTCATTTTATTTACCGCTTTACCGTTCGCACCGGTATACCACCCAGTCCTTCTATGTCTCAATCACCTCTCAGTAACTAGCAATGCAGATGCTATTGGTTTAATTTTTACATTATATTACAGGCCATTTAGCTGATGCTTTTATCCAAAGCGACTTACATTACATTTTTAACCTGTGGCTTTTTACATTACCGGGGAGCAATTAGGGGTTAGGTGTCTTGCTCAGGGACACTTTGACTTGAGACATGGGGCAGCCAGGACTCGAACTACCAACCTTGAGGTTCCCAGCGCACCCTCTCTACCCCTGCGCCACGACGACAAATTTGATCTGTTTGTGAGATTTCTGGGTTCAGCCTTGGAGGTCACTGGAATCAACTGTAACGTATCTTGTTTCACTAGGTACATACGTCTCAATTCATCAGCTGCATTCTTATGAGGATGCACTTCCGGCTGCGACTCGGCTCCTCCGAACGCGGTCTAGGGATGCAGCCCTCAAGGCACCGATTTGGAGGACACATCTGTCCAATGAGATTTAATTTATTTAGCACAGAGGCAGGTGAGCCTACAGCGTCTGAAGCGGGAGTTCCCTTTTAAATGTAATTTCACTAGCAAGGACCACGCACACTAACTGAACTGTTTAACAATTTTATTTACGAGACGTGAGCGATAGGATTTGTAGATACGTCTGGCGGTCAGATGGGTTGTGGGGAGCTACGTCGGAGGATCCGTGGTGGCACCCGGGCACGGCAAACCCCTTCAGGGCCCTACGAAAAAGGTAGAAAAAGAGGGGAGAGAGATAAGAAAAAGAAAGAAAAGGGTTGAGAGGGTGGGTTTTTAGAATGCGTACTCGAGAAGGAGAAGAGTGGGTTGAGTTGTATTTATGGGAATACCAAAGGGGAGGCGTGGTCCTGCTACCAAAATAAACCAATTAGCTTAAATTCACCACAGACCCCGCCATCCACTGAATGCGTTTAAGGTGAGTGAATGGATCGTTGATCGATTCCGTCTAGTTGGTCGGATGGGTTGTGGGGAGCTATGTCAGAGGATCCCAACCACCAAAAAATCCACCTTACGTTAGCTGTGATTGAGCAGCTTGAAGATCCTTGAGATCCGAGAAAATCGAGGTGGGGGGGGGGGGGGGGGGCAATAACCCAGCATCATTATTACCTCAAAATGAAGCCTCAAAAGTGTATATTGTGGCCGTAAGGGCAGAACTGCCATATTTTTTAACCAGATTCTGACGCTACCTCGCAATCTTCAGCCCTCACTCTAACAAACGCAATACACAGTAAGAAACGGACTGAAAAACTAGTGAAACATAATCAGTGATTATGAAAAAGGCAGAATAGCTGTTTTTTTCATAAAATAGTTTACTTTTGTCAACATTTTAAAGTTTAAATGGTGTCTTTAGCTGAAAGAATGGCGAAGCAGAAACATGTGAAAGTTGAGGTTTAAGAGGATTTGAAAACTAACATTGGAAAACCATGTTTAAAAAGTGTATGATTTTAAATTATATAAATTTAATTATAAGAGCTAGAAAGCTGAAAAGTCATAGAACCCCTCTCCTGAAGGAGCTGAAAATGTTTATATTTGAACAGTTTTAATACCTGAGTGTGAAGGAGTTGAAAGGTGCGGCGGAAGAAACAGAATAAGGTGAAATAAAGATTCGAAGAACAATACTTGGATTGCTTCAAAGCACTCCAACAAATATTGCTTTAAAAATGTTCCAATATTACCATCTGATGAGTGTTACGATAAAAAAAAACATTGGACCGTGAACAACACACTGTCAGAGTGATAGTAGTAGGAGAAACCTTATTAAAAGGTTCTCAAAACCTCACCAAGGAATTCCAAATTGCCAGCCTGACTACTCAAACATGATGCATTTTTAATCTTCTTTTCCCCCAAATTACAAAAAAGTAGAGAACATTTTTGTTTTAATTCTAAATTTTAAACCTTCTCAGAACAAATTGAAAATACCTTGCCTCCACCTTTTGGCATTGTCGTGCTGATGGTTCTTCCTTCTTACAAATATTGTATACAAATATTCACAGAAATAGACTGTGGCAACCCACGGGCGCAGCACTCTGGACAGCGAAGAGAGCAGCACAAAGAGCAGGGGCACCGACGAGCAAGAGGTCAGGTGACCAGAAGGGGAAACACCCCGCCCCCTCAGGAGACAACGAGCGGCCCAGGTGCAGCTCATAAGGCTGATGAAGGTTGGCCACACTATAAAATACCAACCATTCCAACAGCCCAGCAGACAAGACGTGAGTAGAAGCTGGCTTCATGCCGGAGTTTGTTTGTAAGCGTGTTAAAGCCTGTTTTTTTTGTGCTTCCTGCAGGAAGCGGCCGAACTAACCCGCCGAACCACACCCTCAAAAAAGGAAGAACCTAAGTTTCCATTTTTTGTTACAATAAATCGTACCCTTTTCTTGTGCAACTAGACGTGCTTCTGAGTCCGGTGATTCCACCCACACCCGTTGGTTGCCACAAGACACATACCGATGATAAAATGGGATAAGCCTGCAACACCCAGTGTCTAAAAGCATCTGAGCCACCAGTGTCCACTGGAGCAGAAAAAGCTTGTGTTGAAGATTAAGTCATTACCATTCTGCTTTGATGTTTAATGAGGTTCCTGATTGGTGTCCCCAATTAAAACATTCAACTCATTGATAGATTCAATATACTTTATTAAATGCATGAATCCCCCACTCTGTAACAAAGAACTAAGTACATCAAAGGATCAGTGAGTTTCTTATCTGCTAAAAGTTCATATTACTTTGTCTCTTAACACCTTACAATTCTTTGTTACGGCGTGTCTGTGTATTTTCCCATTGTCACTCCTTTTAGTTGATTGGACTCTTTTTGTGGCCGTTTTGAATGTCTTTGTTGGGGATCTGTGTCTGCTTGTAGTTGCTATGTGCATTTAGGCGGCTTTGTAGTCACGTTTCTTTGTAATCCTTTCATGTTTCTTTGCGGTATTTTTCGTTCTCTCCCAGGTTGATGCATTGTTACATGTCTTTTTTGGGTGACATTTTGAGGGTGAAGGAAAGCAGAAACCTCGATACCAGAGGCCCCAGGCTTGTGCCCGGTGGGGTTGTCCAGTAGTCCATGTGAGGATCTCTCGACGCTTGATTCTCCACTATGTAATCCTTTCTGTGTGGCCTCACTGCATCTTACCGCTGTTCTCAACCTGTTTCGCAGAATGACAATGATTATTGCTGCTTTCAAATGTTCACGTGTGAGATGTGGGTAACCAGAAGTTCCCTCTCGGGCATTATAAAACAACTCTGTGGGTGGAAAAACATAGCCAGGCAGCCCAAGCCTCACAGAGCGGTCTTATGGTATTATTGTGAGATTACTGTTTTACCAAGCTCAGTCCCAGAGGTGACCACAGCCTTGCCTGTCTGCACAGGCTTGAGGAACTTTTTTTTTTTTTAATGCTTCTTCGCCTCCTTCAGTAGAGACCTGCAATGACTTTTCAGCACTACTTCTTATGCCTAAATTAATCCATCCATCCATCTTCAATCCTTTCGCAGAGAGGCTGGACTCAATCCCAGCTAACTTCACGCAAGAGACAGGCGTGGTGACCCAGGGGAAGGGAGGCCAGATTCAGGCATAAAACAAGAGGCTCGGAGGCATAAATTGTAAAACAAAAAGGGTCCTTTTAATAATACAGTCAAAATAACGGCTCCTTGGGCCAACTTGCAACAGAAAATAGCTCTCCCGCGCTGGGCTAGTGACGCCCTTCTATTCCACGGGTCAACGGCTCCTTCGTCTTGTTAGGGGCAGAGGAGAGGGGGGAGTCCTGGTTGTTACCTCTTCTCTGCTACTGGGGCTCCACTGTCTCCTGTTGCATCGGTCTTCATCCGTTCCTTTGTGGCCGCTCTGCTCCCTAGATATTTATTATATTATACAGATATATTATATATAGATATATTCTCCACCTCTAATTAACTGATTAGAGGTGGAGCCTGTAGGTGTGACCAATTCAAAGATTTTTATTGTCAAATACACACCCCCTGTGTATTGAAATTCTTGTTTGCCTTTTCTGGAAAGCCAACCAATTTTATAATTAAAATAAAAATACAATATTTACATAAATGTACATGAAATAAAAATAAGGCAGAAATGAGGTAAGGGGAAATGTGCAAAACTGAGCAGGTTGTAAAAAAAATAATTTATATTGCACACATTTCATTTAATTTAACAGTACAGTACAAGTGAAATCCTAACAAGCTAAAGTGCAGAACAGTTGTGAGTTAGGTTATAGAGTCCTCTCAGCTGTTGATGACTAATGGCAGTGGGGAAAAAAGAGTGCCACGTTCCTAGTGACTGCAGCACCTGCACAGGATAATATATCCCCTTTATTACTTTATTAGATCTGCCTCCTGTGCTTGGTTCACCATACAGGGTATACCCAGGATTGGTCGCTGTCCAATCTCAGGGCTAACAGAGATAAAAAACCATTCACACTCACCTCCACACACCTACAGGCAATTTAGCAATACCAATTAACCTAAACCCCCAGAGCATGTCTTTGGACTGTGGGAGGAAGCCGGAGTATCCGGAGAGAACCAACGCAGACACGACAACATGAAGAACCCAGGACTTTCTTGCTGTGAGATAGAGCTAACCACCGCCTCCCTGAATAAGAAAAGGTATGTCTGGAGCTTGCAACCTACCTATATTAAAATCAGCTTAGCAATTAGTAAATAACACATTAGGCTATGATAATAAATTAATGGGAATGAATATGAGATTGCTGGTATCGGCCGATACACGTGCCTACGTTTGAGTAAGGGGAGTACCAACAGTCCACTCTGCAGTCCGTGTATCCAACTGATTATCTACTGATATTATTAACTACAAATATACAATTACTGAGAACAGTGTAGCCTCCCAAGAAGGAAACAAAACAAACACAAATGATTGACAGTAAAAAAAACAGATTATTTTTATTAAAAAATCGATGTATGATCGATGATCGTACAGACAGTACGTTTAAACAATATCTACTGCAGAGCAGCTGCAGCTACTACCACACATATTACATTAAAGGAGAGACCGTACAGTACTTTCCCACTGCAAAGTGTGCAAATACACAAGTGCATTGCTATATGCAACAAGATAGGTTTGATGATCCCATCTATCCTCAAAGTTTGGCTGTAAAGAGTATTTTGAGCAGCACAATACAGAAAAGGCCAAGATAGCTTTGTTTGATTTGCATTACCAAAGTGCAGAATTCAGAAAGAGAAATTATTCTACATTCTATCAGTTTTAGCTTAATTGTAATCACAATCAGATGACTGTAGGATTGTGCATTTAGCAGTATTGTTTGCAGATTATAACCAATTGAAACTGTTCCTGTGTGCCAGTGTGTAGCCTAGAGAAGTTGCAAATTCTAATTCTGAAAAATGAAGCCAATGCAGTTGTGCTTTTAAACCACCAAAGGGCGGGTCCTATAGAAGTTTATAAGAAAATGACTTGAAAATGACTTTTCTCTTGATTTATTCCCCCAGTGAACATTGTTAACATGAGGTTATGGTTATCTCTGGTTTCAAGTCTTCGTCAATACATTATGAAGTTCATTCAGTAAATTATAGTCCATTTTGGAATATGTTGGGATTGGTGTAGGGGCTCTCTTAAATTAGTTTGGAACCATAGCTACGTGCTCAGTAGACTGCCAAGAACCTTCCTCAGTCCACAACAGGGCCAGGCAGTTCTTATACTATATTAAAAAAAATAGAGAAAATTCTATTTCTCCTATCTGTATGTTTTCCTTACTTCGATTTACACTGTAAAGCGTCTTTGGGTACCCAGAAAGTGCTTTAAAAAATGTAAGTATTTTTATACCTACATGGGGCCTCCAAACAAATTTCTTGTGTCTCTACAGCCAGGAGACTCGCATTTTTTGAATGTGAGACACCAGCTCAATTATTTTTCATGGCCACACCATCCCAGCACTTGCAATCTATAACCTTGTTCGTTCAATGGAACATTTTGAAGGGTTACATACATTTTGCCATTACAATAGCAAGTTATAAATTGGCTTAGTTTGTATCCTTATGGATGAAATGCACTTATTGTAAGTCAATTTTGCTAAAAGCTTCAGCTAAATGACATGTAATATAATGTCATGTAATCATTATCCTGTAAAAATACTTGAAATGACTAAATACACAAAGCAACATCAAAAAAACACAAAATGACAACAAAGAAATTAATAAAGACAAAAATTAGGCCGTGATAAGAGAAGGGCAAAACAATCACGAATAGAAACAAATCAATTACAAAGGGACATCTTAACTTAGAGAAAAAAGAACCAAAACAAAGCAAAATATTTGCAAAGAGAGCACTATGTAGGATAGGTGGTGGGGCCTTTTACATTTCTTTTGTCCATAGCCCCATTGTCTCATAATCCACCCATGACCATCATCTACTCATGGATAATCCCTAAAGAAGGACAGTGGTGGACACTTTGCTTGGAATGGGTTTGATCGCGCTTGCATGATTTCAACTGTAACCTAAACCGTAACAAGCTGTACTCGTAAAGTCTTATTTCTGTGGATTGAACTGCTATTTTTGCTCTGGTGACGGTCTCAGGCTTTGGGCCGTTCTATGATAAATTAACAACTAATTCAAGGTTGAGGATTTATTTACCCATAACATCCAGAGGCTGCTGTCTTTGAGATGAGGAACCATCATGAAAGCAATTTTTCTTATTTCTATGCGTGGTGAACAGTTGACCTTTTAGGTGGCACTTCATTAGCTCCCTGGGGCTGTTTGTATATTGAACACAGAGGACTCCCCTACCTCAGCATAAGATAAGCACATCTGATAAAATAGTACAAACACGATCATCAGCACCCTGCCTTCGTGTTCAAGGGAGTAGGGATGAGAATTGATAAGATTTTAACGATTCCGATGCCTTATCGATTCCTGCTTATCGATTTGATTCCTTATCGATTCTTTTATCGATTCTTATTGGGCAAGGGGTGAAAAAAAGAGCACAAACGAGTTTATTTACATTAATTTTCTTTTATATATCCATCCATCCATCCATCCATTTTCAACCGCTTATCCGGGGTCGGGTCGCTGGGGCAACAGCTCCAGCAGGGGACCCCAAACTTCCCTTTCCCGGGCCACATCTACCAGCTCTGACTGGGGATCCCAAGGCGTTCCCAGGCCAGTGCAGAGATATAATCTCTCCACCTAGTCTTGGGTCTTCCCCGGGGCCTCTTCCCAGCTGGCCGTGACTGGAACACCTCCCTAGGGAGGCGCCCAGGGGGCATCCTCACCAGATGCCCAAACCACCTCAACTGGCTCATTTCGACGCAAAGGAGTGGCTGAGCTTCTCACCCTATCCCTAAGGGAGACGCCAGCCACTCTCCTGAGGAAACCCATTTCGGCCGCTTGTACCCATGACCTAGTTCTTTCGGT